ACATTTCATCATGAATAGACTTACTAACGAGCAACGCTTGCAAATCATTGAATTTTATTACCAAAATCAGTGTTCGGTTCGAAATGTGTTTCGCGCGTCCGATTTATGGTCTACATAATCGACCAAGTGAGCAAACAATTAATGCGATTGTGACCAAGTTTCGCACTCAGTTTACTTTATTGGACATTAAACCAACCACACGAATGCGTACAGTGCGTACAGAAGAGAATATTGCGTCTGTTTCTGAGAGTGTTGCTGAAGACCGTGAAATGTCGATTCGTCGCCGTTCGCAGCAATTGGGTTTGCGAAACACATTTCGAACCGAACACTGATTTTGGTAATAAAATTCAATGATTTGCAAGCGTTGCTCGTTAGTAAGTCTATTCATGATGAAATGTCAAAGCATACTGAGCATCTTTCTCTTTGACACCATGTCTGAAATCCCACGTGATCTGTCAAATACTAATGCATGAAAATCCTAACCTCAAAAAAATCACCCGTTATTTGTCTAATATTTGACTTGAGGGAGGCTTAGGATAATATTCTTGTTTGTATTTACGGACGAATAACATACACATCCATATGTATATGAGCATTTCCACCAGAAGGTTCAACGCAGACAAAATATTAGAAGTTAATAAAATTATATTGTGTCTGTTGAAAAGATTCAGCCTTTTATCGTTTAGGTACCTAATTATCAAAGTAATTCTATTTTGGAATTCAACAAAAGAAACTCAATCGTTAACGCTAAAGCTGTAGCATGCAAGTTAATTACAAATTGTAAAAAATAAAGTTCAAATACAGAAAGCATATTCTCACACTTATTTTTTAATTAAACTCATTACGCAATAACTTCTGTTATTTAATATTAAATTAAATTCCGCCTAAAGTTAACGTAAGCAAATTGAACTAAAATCACGAATGGCCAAAATGCTGACAGCAGCATTATTGCATTCTTAATAAATTCTTTGGAATCGAAGATCAAACCAAAAGACAGACCCCGCACAGCGGCATAGTAATCACTGTAAACATAACTGCATTCCAATAGCTCATAACGCATAGTGCAACGATATCGTTTCCGTTCCTTCTTTAAACTTTTGATTTAATTAAAAATTTATTTACCTAAACAATACTGCATTTCCCACTAATTGGCATTTCATCAATCCACTAACTGACGCAACGCCAAAGCGGCCTTGTGAAATTAGTTCTTAAGAAAATAAATGTTATTTTATAAATAAGAGATAATTGAAATAAAGGCTTTGCTTCTGTAAATCGTCCGCGAGATGCGGATTAAATAAATAGTCACTATCTTTTTAAAAACGCCTTTATCGGAAGGGTGGGCTGTATGAGAACGAATTAAATAATCTAAAACCGCTTTTACGTATCGGTCACACATAAAAAACCCGGTCATTAAAAAAAAACCGCGTTTAAAATAAATAGTGGTTGTGTGCGCCATAAATAATAATGAAGCACTTATGAATCAATTGCGCATATGCGTTGAATGTTATGCGAAATTTGACTTATGAAAAAGTAGTTCAATTAAAGATAATCAATAAATGGTATAACAGTGAGCCAATATGAACAAATATAAATTTGAACTGTATAAACTGGCCCAAATATCGGGAAAATGGGATGAATACAGAAACGTAAAAATAGAATACAAAAAACTAATAAAAATTAAAAAAATTAAGCATATGGAACATAATATAAATATGAACAGTCACGATAGTAAAAGGATGTGGAAATATCTGAAACAGTATGGTAAATGAAAATTCATCGATCAAAAAGATTGTAATAAATGGTCTAATATACGAAAATGAATATGAAATTGCGAACAAATTAAATAAATATTTTGTAGTTAGCATTACAGATATTTGCAGAAATATAAACTTTTAGATAGAGACGTCATTATACCTAATAAGCCAAATTGTGTTTTTAAATTTGCCAAAGTTAGTACGTATGACATCCAAGAACTTGTCCATAAGTTTAAAGCCAAGAGAGGTGGAAAAAAATTAATGACGGAAGGTGTGGTTAAGGATGTGGTGCCATATTTAGGTTTTTTCTATGCTAAAATAATAAATGAAAGTTTAAGAAGTGGCATAGTTCCTAGTATGTGGAAAACTTCAATTATTTTCCCAATAGTAAAGTTAAAAATACTATTAAAGCAGAGGAGTTACGTCTTATTAATACATTGGCCAGTGATGAAAAAATGTTAGAACTTTTAATAAAAACCAATTAGTGGAATATCTAGAAAATAATAACATACTCATACCTCAGGAATCAGGATTTACACAAAATCATTCTTGTGAAGCGGCATTGAACATGGTTCTAGCTGAATGGAAAGAAGAACTTAATAAAAGTCGATAATAGCAGTTCTCATTGATCTAAAAAGTGCGTTTGAAACTATCGATCAACACATATTGTTAGAAAAACTATCAGGCATTGGTATTCAAGATGTTGAATTATATTGGTTTAAAAATTTTTTAACAAATCACAAACAAAGAACAATAATTGGTTCGACATCATCAGATGAAGTGGACGTTAAGATTGGTTTACCCCAAGGCTCTGTTCTTGCTTCAATTTTATTCAACATTTACATTAATGATATTAATTCAATCTTAAATTTCAGTTCTATAAAACTATTTGCTGAGGATTCATTAATTTCAATAAATGGTAAAAACGAAAATGATATAAGACAAAAGTTACAGAGTGATTTAGATGCTCTTTATATTTGGCTGTGTGCTAACAAACTTAAAATTGATATCGAAAAAACAAAATACATTTTATAACAAGAAAGAACATTGCTGATATTGAAACTATCAAAATTAATAACACGGAAATTGAAAACGTTAAGAAGATTAAATACCTGGGTATCTTAATAGATTGCAAATTAAAATTTGACGCCCATATAGATTACACGATAAGTAAAATAGAAACAAAAATTTGGTATATAAGAAGAACCTATAAATACTTAAGTAATTATTATAATGTAAAAGTATATAGGTCTATAGTTGAGCCCTACTTTATCTATTGTTCTACTATTTTCATTATTATGAAAGATTCGCAAATTGAAAAACTGCAAAAAATTCAGAATAAAGCTATGCACCTTATATTAAACAAACGTTATGATACTCCTATAAAAGAAATGCTAATCAGTTAAAATTGGATGAGCGTAAAATAACAAATATTTTTTTACACAATGAAATTTATATACAACATAAAGAACGGTCATTTGTCTGATTATCTAAGAACATGTATGTGGGATTGGTGTGCCGGACCAGAAGTGGTCGGCAATACACCCCTGACCGAACAACGCGCAATCCCAATACAACCCTGACCGAACAACGCACAACCATAACTAACAAACCTGACCGAACAACGCGCAACCCTAACTAGACGAACTTTTAACGAAACACAAGAAAACTGAATTCGGTTAAGTTCAAGTTTTCCGTGTGTCGCCGAAGCATAAGGTCGCCTAGTCGTTGCTAGCGGGTGTGCTAATAAAAACCCATCAATTTAAATACAGTTGTGAATACATATATGTAAAACTATTTTAAGTCCACAATGCAATTGCTTTATGTTAAATAAAACAATACTTTATATATTAAATTAGTGTGTTTGGTGTCCTGACGGCAGTGGTGCTCATAGAATAAGCCCCACAAGTGGTGTCAGAACTGCAATCGAATCTGCACCTGAAAAGTGACGCTAATGTTTAAATTTGCTTAAAAAAATGAAAATAGTGGAAACTACGTGCGATAAATAGAGTGCGGGAAGTACATTGCGCGCATCTAAAATCGTTAACAGCCTCTTGCACGATATTATCAATAAAAGCAACGAGACAAAGCAGTGAAATAATTTGCAAAATCGCGATATTCGGTGGAACTGTACATGCATTTGTATATACGTGAGTGATATATAAAGCAGAAGTAACGGCTAAAATTTAAAATTCGGCGACAGATCGGCACCTTCCCAAGCGACGGCCGATACATAGAAAGTATATGTATGAACATATGTTGAACGGATGCGCACCAAAGTAAATAAGACGCTAGAGTGTATGTGAGTGGCGTCGGCAGAGGCCGAGCAGTAACGAGAAAGCGAACGAGTAAAAAGTAGCAGTGGTGAAATAGCTCAAGCGAGAGCGGTGACGTGAAGTACTAAGTAAACAGCGAAGATTTCAACTAAGTTGTATGAGAAGAGACTTTGCACGGCGGTGGCTGAAAGTGCAAAAGAGAGGCGTTTTTTGCAGTGAGTTTGCGTGGTGGAGACCGAATAGCGTGAATTGTGATCAAAAGCCTTGTGTGCAGAGAGTTTGTGCGGCGACGGCTGTATAGCAAAAACAGACTGCGTTTTAAAATTTTTTGCTGGTTTCCGTGTAATTGCGATATTTTTGTTTGCAATACGTTTGCGTGGCAGTGGCCAGAGAGAGTAAATTGTTTGTTGATAGCAAAGCATCGAGAGTCTGCAGAGCATCGATATATGTATGTATAAGGAGAGCCGAGAGAGTTCCGTCAAGTTGCGGGAAGCAGATGCAGATAAGTAGAAAATAGAAAAGTAGAAGTTAAGAAATGGAAAAAAGGCAAAGGAATTGCCAGATGTGTCAATTTCAAAATTTTTGTGTTTACATATTGCAAATTTAAAATTGTCATTAATCTTCAAGTTGGTACAATAGAAATAAAAGTAATGAGTAAAGTTGATTTGAAATTGTTCAGGTAAAGGAAATTACTGTTTCATATGTGCTGAAATTAGCTTAAAGTAAACTCTGGAAAAAAGTTAGTTCATTGAAGTCGTTAAGAAGAAAGGTTAAATAATTCAAACATCCAAGCAATTGGAGATTAAAGTAACATTTGGTATCATTGGTAGTTTTAAGAGAAAACAAAAGCACACCAATTTTTGAAGGATTTTAAGTGTAAAATTTTTGAAAAACGTACTCAGTTTTGTATTTTATAACACTGTAAAATTAAAATTTTTTTTTCTATTATCGCTAAGAACGACTAGAGGCCATGGAACGACGCGAAATTTTAGATTTGAATTTGCGCGATTTGAGGCAAAAACTAACTGAATTAGGGTTAGTGACTACAGGGCGTAAGTCAATATTGCAAGACATACTGCTCGAGCATTTCGGCCTGACTGTTGACGGTGAAGAAGATGATGATGTTTCTGAGTATGATGATGTTGCTTCAGGTGTGATCCATACTCCGGCACATGAGCGTGCTACGTTCACCCTGCGCGACATAGTAGATTCGCTGTCAATGTTTAATGGCTCCGGCTCACCGTCGATAGAGGACTGGTTAGAAGAGTTTGAAGAAAACGCTACCGCAGTTCACTGGAATAATTTACAGAAATTTATTTATGCTAAACAGTTGTTGAGGGGGGCAGCCAAAATGTTTGTGCGAAGCCAACGTGGTGTTACAGATTGGAGTTCATTAAAGCAGGCACTAAAATCAGAGTTTGGTATTGTGGTGTCATCCATGGAAGTGCATCGCATGCTTAGGAACTGTCGAAAGCGTCAAAACGAGAGTTACCGCGAATACCTTTACAATCTAATGGAGATTAGCAAACCGATTGAATTAGATGAGTTGAGTTTAGTAACATATTTTATCGAAGGTATTCCTGATTCTAATGCCAACAAGAGTAACTTATATCAGGCCAAAACTGTTAAAGAACTTAAGATCCAGCTTAGCATATATGCGGGGTGGTCGGCAAGAAGTAAACAACTCAGGTTCTGTTCGTTCGGGTGAAGGAAATAAGGCGTCTACTGGTTTGGGTAACAATAAAGATCAAACAAAACGTTGTTTCAAGTGCGGAGATATTTCGCACATCGCAAAAGATTGCAGTCAAAAACAAATTAAATGTTTCAAATGCGGTCAGCCAGGGCATCGTGCCGTAGATTGTCAGCGACAGCAAGTTGAGGTTAAGAAGGAAAAAAGTAATGTAAATACGTTGAGGAACCAGGGAAAACAAGAATTTGGAACAGGAGGATGCATTTTTAAGGATCTAGCCGTTGGGGGAGCGACATTTTCCGCTTTAATAGATACCGGATGTGACCTTTGCTTAATTCGTCGCGATGTTTTGTTGTTGTTAAATGACGACATCGAATTAAGCAACGACCAAATAAGCCTTATAGGCGTAGGAAATGCCAGACTAACGACGCTAGGTAGCTTCAAAACTATGGTGGTGGTCGACGGTATGGAACTTGAAGTCATTTTCCACGTGACCAGAGAATGTGACATGCGGTATTCAGCAGTGATTGGTGTCAGTGTGTTGAAATTGGTTGACTTGGTTGTATCAGAGGGTTCGGTAGAGTTTAAGGAGAAAGTTGACAAGGCTGAGGCAAGTCAGACAGGAAAAAAGGGTTCGAATGCAGTCGTGGCAGGAAGTTGCTTAATTTCGGACGAAGCCGAGGGGAGATGTACAGAGGTTGAGGCAGAGTTTAAAGAGCTATGCCAAGTTGCCGTTGTTGAAGAAACTAGGGAACCAGATATTGACTTATGCCACCTTCAACCGTTAGAAGCAAGTGCAGTAGAGGTGTTGATTAAAAATTATGCACCCGTAAGAAACCAGAAATCACCTGTTGAAATGAAGATCGTGTTGACTGATGATTATCCCGTTCACGAAGGCCCTAGACGCATTTCATACGCTGACAAGCAAGTGGTAGAAGAACAGATAGCGGAGTGGCTACAAGAGGGTATTATTCAACCCAGTACATCGGAGTACGCTTCGCCCATTGTACTTGTTGCCAAAAAGGATGGATCAAAAAGGCTTTGCTGTGACTACAGGCCTATAAACAGCAAGATTATGAGGGATAACTTTCCGATGCCGTTGTTAGACGACGTCATTGAGAGGCTACAGGGGGCCAAATTATTTACGACCTTGGATTTGGCAAACGGGTTCTTTCATGTACCTGTCGAAGCGAAATCCAGGAAGTATACCGCGTTCGTTACACATAACGGGCAGTACGAGTTTCGATATGTACCCTTTGGGATATCAAACTCGCCTGCTGTATTTTCGAAGTACATTGCTACGGTTTTGAGGGATATGGTGGAAGATGGGACGGTTGTTGCTTACATGGATGATCTCATTATTCCCGCTAAGGATGTAAGTGAGGCCATTCAGAAATTAGAGCGTGTGTTAAGTCGAGCAGCCTAGTATAACTTGCGAATAAAATGGAGTAAATGTCAATTTCTGAATAGGAAAGTGGACTTTTTGGGTTACATTATAGAAAATGGAGCTATAAAACCATCCGAAGCAAAAACAAGGGCGGTGGAGAATTTCCCTATCCCGCGAGATAGAAAGGCAGTACAGCGCTTCCTTGGGTTGACATCTTATTTTAGACGTTTCATTGAGGGTTATGCAACTATCGCTAAACCTCTTTCAGACCTTTTACGAAAAGACGCTCAGTTTTTACTTGAGGCAGACCAGTTAGCAGCTTTTCAGCAACTAAAAGAAGCACTAGCGAAAGCTCCGGTTCTGCGACTGTACAACCCAAAAGCGTTGACAGAGGTTCATACGGATGCATCCCTGCACGGATACGGAGGTGTTCTTCTTCAAAAGGACTCTGACGATCAGCTTTTCCACCCGGTACAGTATATGAGCCGGAAGACGACGCCAGCTGAAGAAAAGTACCATTCATATGAGTTGGAGGTACTTGCTATTGTAGCCGCGTTGAAGAAGTGGAGGGTGTATTTGTTAGGCATAAGTTTCAAGATAGTGACAGATTGTAACGCTTTCGCTATGACGATGAAGAAAAGGGACATTCCACTAAGAGTTTCCCGTTGGGCCTTAGTTTTACAAGATTTTAACTACCAGATAGAACACAGAAGCGGAAGTAAGATGAGGCATGTAGACGCCTTAAGTCGAGTTTGTTGTTTGATGCTAGAGGATTCGCTACAGCACAGACTGCGTCAGGCACAGTTAATGGATCCTTGGGTGAAAGCGGTTATTAAAGTTCTCGAAAAGGACAATTATGAAGACTTTTTCGTGAAACATGGGGTGGTCTATAAAGATCCCACTAAGGAACTTATAGTCGTACCTGTTTCTATGGAAGATGAGATTATAAAAATTGCCCACGGTCAAGGCCATTTCTCGCCGAAAAGGACGCAAGAGGCAATAGAAAAGTCGTTTTATATACCACAGTTGTTAGCGAAAGCATCAAGTATAGTAAAGAGTTGCGTAGCTTGCATCATTACTGAGAGTAAGTCAGGGAAAAGGGAAGGATTACTAAGGCCGATAGACAAAGAAGATAGGCCTTTAGGGACGTACCACGTTGACCATGTAGGGCCGATGACAGAAACAAATAAATGGTACAAATATATTCTCGTCGTTGTCGATGCGTTCTCTAAGTTCGTGTGGCTATACCCAACGCGAACGACTGCAGCAGATGGGGTTGTAGATCAGTTGAAGCGACAGGCAGCAATATTTGGGAATCCAGGACGCATTATATCGGATCGGGGCGCTGCATTTACGTCTCATTTATTTTCTGAATATTGCGAGAGCGAGAGCATACAACACTTAATGATTGCTACTGGTGTTCCGAGGGGGAATGGCCAGGTGGAGCGTATCCACAAAATCGTTGTACCAATGCTATCTAAGTTGTGTGTCGAAAATCCTACCCAGTGGTACAAGCATTTATATAGAGTGCAACAAGCGATTAATAATACGCCACCTAGAAGCACGAAAGTTTCACCCTTTAGGTTGTTGACAGGGATTGAAATGAGTCTGAGTGAGGTACCAGATTTGAAAGAGTTTTTGGAAGAGGCAGCGATCGAAGAATTGGACAGGGAAAGAGAATCTCTGCGCAAAGAAGCTCAAGAGAATATTCAAAAGATCCAACAAGAAAATCGACGTAATTTTAATGAGAAACGGAAACAAGAAACAAAGTACCGAGTAGACGAGTTAGTCGCCATTAAGCGCACTCAATACGGTACAGGACTTAAGCTGAAGCCGAAGTACTTTGGCCCATACAAGGTAACGAAAGTTTTATCTCACGGTAGATACGAGGTGCGTAAGGTTGGCGAGCATGAGGGCCCTGGACACACATCAACCGTGGCAGAATATATGAAACGGTGGGAACAACCAGCAGAATCATATGACAGGACATCATTCGAGCCGACTGATGAGTCAGGAGGGCCGAATGTGGGATTGGTGTGCCGGACCAGAAGTGGTCGGCAATACACCCCTGACCGAACAACGCGCAATCCCAATACAACCCTGACCGAACAACGCATAACCATAACTAACAAACCTGACCGAACAACGCGCAACCCTAACTAGACGAACTTTTAACGAAACACAAGAAAACTGAATTCGGTTAAGTTCAAGTTTTCCGTGTGTCGCCGAAGCATAAGGTCGCCTAGTCGTTGCTAGCGGGTGTGCTAATAAAAACCCATCAATTTAAATACAGTTGTGAATACATATATGTAAAACTATTTTAAGTCCACAATGCAATTGCTTTATGTTAAATAAAACAATACTTTATATATTAAATTAGTGTGTTTGGTGTCCTGACGGCAGTGGTGCTCATAGAATAAGCCCCACATGTATTAAATTTAACTACGAGATCCACGACAGAAATACAAGACAGAGAAATGATTTCAAATTACCTAATTATAAAACGGAATCTGAAAAAATAGTCTTTTTTATAAAGGGTTAAAATGCTTCAATGAATTAGCCGAAAATATCAAAAACTGTGATAATAACTTATTCAAACAAAGGCTGTATGACTTCATCAAATCATTGGAGATAAGATAAATATTGTGGTTTGTGTGGATTTGGGGTACATATTTCAATATTTCATATTCAAATGTAGTACATATTGTTAATTATGTAATACTATGTTTAAATGTTTCCTTTCTTTGTTGAACTAGGCTCTAAGAAGTCGTAATAAACAAATAAATAGAATAATACATACTTAGCTTGTAAATTACAAGCGAATGTACCACATAAAATAAAAATTTTAATGCGTAAAATTAAATAAACGCCAAAAATAAACCAGAGCTGGAAAAATACTGAAAATCAATGAAGTGAAAATCACGGGATAATAACAAATAGAGCGGGATGCGGTAAATTAGATAATACAACAACAATTAGTAGCAACGAGACCAGCAACCAGCAATCAAGAAATTTTAAAGACTGTCAACGGCAAATTCATTTGGAATAGTGTAAGTTATATTATTTACACCTAAGAAGCATTATTTATAAAAGAAAACACCACAAATAAGGAAAGATGACAGGCGGTTTACTAATAGGTTTGGACTATGACGACATATCGATGGCTGAGTGGAAGATCGACCTATCTCGGCAGCCAGTTCGAAAACGCTCTATCTCAAAAAACTTTTCAAGAACGCCCTATTTCAGAATTTAATTGAAAAACACCCTATCTCAAAATTCGATTCAAAAACGCCCTATCACACTTCAAAATGTATTGAAAATATGCTTATAAAGGGCGTTTTTGAATCGGCAGCTGAGATAGGGCGTTTTTGAAACGAATTCTGAAATAGGGCGTTCTTGAAAAGTTTTTTGAGATAGAGCGTTTTCGAACTGGCTGCCGAGATAGGTCGATCTTCCACTCAGCCATCGATATGTATGTATAATAATAGTATTGCAGAAAACTTAGAACCAGAAGTAAATACTCACGAGTTTAATGAAGAAACTGCTCCAACAGATGAACATTTTTCTTGGAAAGTCATACTGACTGTCGAAAATAAAATTAAATGTAGGACAAAAGTTTTTAAATTTATTGGAAAAAATTAAAAAGCCATTTCACCGGACTACGACCATGGTTGCCACAATTGGTAACTTTGTACCAAAACTGGTAACTTTTAAACGGTTTGGTAGCTTCGTAACTTTTATTTCATTTTGGTAACTTTTGCAACTAAACATCTATTTGCATTACTAGAAAGAAATGAATTATGTTTTCAATGTGCGTAATTATAAATTCTCTTCGAGTTTCAGTGGCAGCACTACTGACACTTTTACAAAATTACTTTGATTAAATTAGAGTCATCTCATATTCAAATACTGGAAATATTTGAATTACAGTGGCACCACCAAGGGCTGCACTTTTAAAACAACTTTCGATTTTTTTCGATAAATTTTGAATTCTACGCTCTCACATTTTAATACTGATCATCTGGTAAGGATCATAAATCGTTTTGATTATTCCGGCAAAAAAAAAATGTCCGTGCTTTTTACTGGACCCATCTACCGACATGTATTTCGACACCTACCGACATATATTTCGACGTACAGTAAATTATGAAAAACCGAAAAAATAGCAAAGAAAATTAACAATTTTCGCAATTTACTCGAAATTTTGTACGAGTCAAACGAACGGTTAAATCACCCGCCACTTTTTTTGTGCGCCGGCGCATTATTCCGTGAGCCGCAGGTCCATTATCGGCACATTCCGAACGAAAAATTACACTGAAAATTGTATTGTATTGTATTGTATTACAACGCCGAAACCGGTTTGTTTCCAAGCCAAATTTGACAAGGGATGATGGAAAATCGTTCCACATTACATCTTACTCCTACCCTGTCGGAAACACCAACAACGAAAATGAGAATAACGGCACATGCAGTAATTAATTGATAGAAAAATATTTTCTACTAAAAAAAATTATTATAATTGTCATATTGTAATATTGGCATTTTCAATCTTGATAATTTATCAAAAAAATAGATTTAAACTTCTGTGCAAGAACTGGGAGTTCTTGATAAATAATCAAAAATTGACAAATTATAAAAATATTGAATTTATTAAATGCACAGAACCGGGTTGTAAGTATATACATATTTGTTATGAAATATAGTAGTGTTATTCAGTAAATTCTTTTCTCAGTGAAGAAGTGAAAATTTTGGTAGTGAAGATTTGGTAACTTTTGGTAACTTTTCTTAAGAGATTTTGGTAGAAAAAAATGTTGGCGAGTGGCAACCATGACTACGACAACAAGGAAACCAGTGTTGCCAAGTTTTGAATTTGAAAAGGCACTAAAACCCAAGAAAAATCGCGTTTTTTCTCGAAAAAAGGCACCAAATTTTTTTTACAGAATTTAATGGACTTTATTTTATCTCCAATAACTGAGGAGTTAGATGCAAAGAGGCCGTTTCTATTAAAACTGCTTTCTGAGATATTGGCGTTAAAGTTT